CAATCTTAGAGAGAGAGAGAGAGTATGCAAAAAAAATACAGAAAAAAACTGAGAACGCGAGGTAGACACCCCCACCCCGGCCGCCCCCTTCCACTTTTTTTCCTTTTTTCAGATGTTCACCTTTAAGATGTCCGCGGTCTGCTTATCCTTCCTTCCACTAACGTATTGTTCCTGACCAGACAGCACCGCATGGCTGTGGCACCGTCTCCACCCTCGAACCGCCACAGCCATGCGGCGCTATCTGGCAATCAATCGAATATAAGGGGTTGATATATATATATATATATATATATATATATATATATATATATATATATATATATATATATATATATATATATATAGGTCAGTACAGAAATTTCGTCCATATCTGCATGGTCGCCATTTCACCATTGTGACCGACCACCACGCTTTATGTTGGCTTTCTACACTCAAGAACTTGTCGGGACGCCTCGGACGCTGGATTCTATGCCTCCAAGAATGTGATTTTGAGATCGTATACAAGTGTGGCAGGAAGCATAGTGACGCCGACGCTCTTTCTCGCTGCCCACTACCAGCGACTCCACTCGGGGTTTCCGCAATCAATTTGCACAACACGCCCTCGGAGTCCACGTCTACGGCGGTTTTCTCTCTCGTGTCTATGGGCCAGCTGCCTTCGGACGACCCCCACGATTTTCCTTCTCGACAGTTGGCTGACCCATACTGTCGACGTATTATAGGCTACCTCACTGGCAGTTCCCGTCCACCTAATGCAAGGCTCCGTCGCCAACTCTCGCAATTAAGCTGGACAACTCGGTGCTGTACCGCAAAATTTACCATCCTGACGGTCAGCGCTGGGTTCCCGTTCTACCCCGATCGCTTCGGTCCGAAGTCCTCAGAGCGCTTCATGACCATCCAACTGCTGGTCACCTTGATTACCATAAAACCTACGATCGCCTTCGAAGTCGGTTTTATTGGCCAGGCATTACTACTAGTGTAGCTCGGTACGTCGGGTCCTGCACTACCTGCCAATGTAGAAAACTATCAACATCTGCTGCCGCCGGTACACTACAGCCTCTTCCGTGCCCAGCCACACCATTCGAAGTTGTAGGCGTCGATATTTATGGCCCCCTCCCAGTCAGTGCTGCTGGAAACCAGTGGATAGTAACAGCCGTTGACCATTTGACGCGCTACGCCGAGACGGCATTCGTTACTACTGGTTCAGCTTCCGAGATTGCCGATTTCATCCTCCGAGCCATTATACTGCGTCATGGTGCTCCACGTGTGTTGCTCAGTGACCGTGGAAGGGCCTTCCTTTCACAACTAGTGAACGAACTTCACGCCTCCGGCACAACTCATAAGACTGCCTCTAGTTATCATCCCCAGACTAACGGCCTCACTGAGCGATTCCATCGCACTCTTGCTGACATGATCGCCGCCTATATTCAACCAGACCACAAAAACTGGGACGTTGTTCTACCATTCGTCACTTTCGCCTACATTACGGCCATTCAGCGGATAACAGGCTACTCGCCATTTTACCTAGTTTATGGACGCTCCCCTTCTTCTTTCCTGGACGTCTCTTTCTTTACCTGCCAAGCGAATTCATCTCCATCCTCTTCAGAGGAACACGTTTCACGACTCGCACAGTGCCGCCAACGTGCTAGTATAAACACTGAAGCCTGCCAGCAAGCCAGAAAGCTAGTTTACGATGAATCGCATCGTGCTGTATCCTTCCAACCTGGAGACAAAGTGCTCTTTTTGACGCCTGTTCGCACACCTGGTTTGTGTGACAAATTTCAGCCTCGGTTTATCGGGCCGTACAAGTTCTTGAAGAGACTTCACCAGTGAATTATCGCGTAACGCCACTTGTACCCCCAGCAGATCGCCATTATTGAACTGCAGAGGTCGTCCATGTCTCCCGTATGAAGCCCTTCATGCGACGTTCTTTGTCCCCTTGACTTGCCACGGCCAGACTGGCCGCTTTCACGGGGGGGGGGGGGGGGGGAATTGGTGTGGGCATTTAGTATACGCATCCTCTTCACCGGTACATTATCATCATTATCATGTGTGGCTCATGCATACTCATCGTTGTCGCGTAGCATCATCATCTTGGCTCATTCATCGTAGCTGTCGGCTGCCGGTTCCTCGGGCCTAATAAAAGGTAATCCAAACCAAGACTTCATAATATATATATAATTTCAAGAAAGATAATTCAGAACATTTTTCGACGCGTGGTATCTAACGTGCAACATCGCCATCAGTAGCGCGTGGCATTAGCCACTGAGCTATTTATATGCACTATTTACCGCTGGCAGGATATGGATCTCGGGGTCAATACCAGAATCTTCCCAGCTTTTCCTGCGAGATGGTGCGAAAGGCCCACTTGGCAGCCGTCTCATGGAATTTGTCCTATGTGCATCTTGAGCTTTCACCGGAACGATTTCGTTGTTGTTGTTAGCCCAGTAGTTGGGGTGGCGCCGTCTGGCAGGATCTGGATAACGTCACGGCAAGGATGCTTCGACGCCTGCCGTGGCGCACCTAATGTAACATGCGTTCGCATCATACGCTGTTCTGCTGTTTGCAATTGTTTTTTGCTTGACTCAAGCTTCGGATGAATGATGGAAACAGCATCAATAATGCTCCTTGTGAAATGACTAAAGATCTTTGTTCAGTACAATCACCAACAGTTACTATGCTCCACCGTACACTTTGATAGGGTTTTTGTTGCCTCGCTGCTAAACACGGGTTCGATTCTCGTCCACCGCAGCTGCATGCCGACATCAGTGAAGAGCAAGGAAATTTTTGTGCTTGGATACTAATTTATTATACAGCGTGTCCCATATTCAAGTCATGTTTTTTACAAGACAACATATGTAAATTAGTACGTTGCTTTCTTTCTGAGCGGTTCTTTTTAGGGGTATAATGTTCTCACGTCCAAAAGCTTCATTTGGAACGGATGCATGCCATTATTGGGCCGCGGATTGTTTTTTTGTTGCTTATTATCAAGCTCTAAGCACAGTTACATAAACCCATGCAGTATTGAAGCTAGTAAAGCATCTCCATAGCGCTTGGCCGAAAATACCACCGCAGCAGTTGCATTTGCATTTCTTATGTACTCGGTCACTCGTTATGTAGTTTGACGCTTTTCTGGCAGTAAATTCGGGACTTCATTTCACAAAAAAGCAAGTTGAGGTCAATTTCTAAAACTTCATGCAGCATGAAAGCAACGCCGCTGTTACACCTACCCCCAAGCTTCGTTGTATGTGAATATGATTTGCGAGACCAGACACTGTCTTATTGAGGCAAACAATATTTAATTATCACGTGGGCCACGTCTCTGAGAGCACCATCGAAACCATTCGCAATGCTCACTTTGAGTTTCCATCGTTTGGCAAACAATTGTTATCAATAGTGCTCCTACGTGAACTAAACCTTGTGACGTGGTGCTTGATCGGGGCAGCACTTCATGCAAATCAGAATATAGGGCCACCTATGTTCTGGTGACTAGCTGTTTAAGAAAAATATTGTATAAATTCAAGGACACTAACATCTCAGCAGTTTCCTGAACGTTTTGTTTGTCACCACATACATTCTGGATATAATAAAAATTTTATGGTAGATCATCTAAGGTCTCTTTTAGGAAAACGTGCAACGTTGTCAAGTCACCCGAATATTAGATGAAAACTGCGATATATCAGTGAGCTTGAAAACACCGTAGTTTTATTATTTGTAACTTTTGGGACACATGTTTTAATCCCCGAGTGCACGCCAAGTTGTAATGAAGATAGAATCATCAGGGTAAATACTTTTAGCACCAGTTTCTTGGCGTAAGCAGTGTCAACAACGATTGCCTTGCTGTAGTGAACCACCATTTTCACATGTCCTGTTTAGGCAGGAGTTTTCTCTTTAGATAACCGCAACTTCCTGCAACTCCCTTAACTTTTTATAGTAGTGTAAATAGCCGCCTTCTACTTTGGTAGATGTGCATCGAAACAATTAGTAGTTATCACTACCGCATCGCGTTAGAGCAGGCACATGACGGGCGCAGAAAAAGGCGATACTCAGCCGTGGAGCAAGCGAGTCTTTGCCGTGGTGTTACTTCGCCCCGACTGCCGTGCCGCCAGTGTTTGTTCTCGGAGCAAATAGAGCGCACGAAAGTCACTTCACTCGCTGCAGTCTATGCGTTTGCGAAAAGAGTGCACTTTTCAAACACAGCGAGGCAACAAGTGGGACACTCTTTAGTCGGGGCTCATCCTGTGTATACCTGTGCGCATACGCTTCGTGCGTCCTTTAGGTTTGAGCAGTGCGTTAAGTGCTCAGCTTTGAACGTTGTCAGCTCACGCTCATCCCGTGGGTTCTTTTTGTGCGTTTCTTCGTAAGTAGCAGTGGGTTATACGTTTTGATCTGGTTGCTGTTTTTCGCGTGACATGCCAATTTGCTGCTATCGCATTCATTGGTTTGCCATTGCAGTGAAACTATGACTTTTTTCTTCTAATTTTTTTGCAATATATATATATATATATATATATATATATATATCTTGCAATGTCATATTTGTAACGATAATTAATCAGCGGAGCCGTTGTGAACCCTGGCATGAAACAGTCATGTGTTACAAAAACTCGCAGGGTCCCTTATGCCTAAGACAAGTTGAAAGCGAAAGCCGTGTTGAACTTTGTTGTCTCAGTTGACATTCTCTCCCACTTTCCTCCAAAAGCCTAGTGCACCTAAGGTATGCAGTTTTTTGCTGCCCTCGTGATCGGAGGCATCGCGAGCTTTCTGCGACTTGTCCCGTTCGTACTGCCTCTGGGACCGAGCCACGTTATGAGGTGACATCAGGTTGCGTGGCGTCATGGTGAAGTCGCATAAAGAGGCAACTGTGACATCATCATGTGATAGTTTTTTGCATAACTAGTGTTGATCCCTACGTCACCTTTTGCGTTTAATGAAGCATCTAAAGCTTTGAAATAAAATGAAAAAAAAAAACGAACGACACAAACGGGCGATACATCTTGCAGCGTGTGACTGCCACCGGCTGGGCTCGCTGGAGGACACTGAGTGCGACCCACAGTCTGGCCAGTGCGCCTGCAAGGCGAATGTGGCCGGCCGACAGTGCGGTCAGTGCCGCGAAGGCTACTGGAATCTGCAGAGTGGAGATGGCTGCGAGGCCTGCAACTGCAACCTGGTCGGCTCTTACAACCGCACCTGCGACCAGCGCACGGGACACTGCCACTGCCGACCGGGTGTCACCGGAAAGCAGTGCGACCAGTGCCTGCCGTACCACTACGGATTCTCGCCCGATGGTTGCGTGCGTAAGTACATGATTCCCGGGTGCCCCCTTTTGTCGTCCTTGGTGCTTCGAGAGTCTCTGCATGATGCGTGAATGCAACATCTAGGTTGCCTGATCACTCTGGATGCTGTTAATGCACCCAAGGAAGCTGTAAGAAAAGAGAACATGAGAATGTGTCGTTGTCAATTGCCTGATTTATTTCTACTGCAAAGTTCTCAGCACAAGGCATACTGCAGACGTTACATGTTCTTCAGCATGTCATCCACACTAATTTGTATGCAGCAAGCACTTAATGTTGTTTGGTCAGTGCTACCACCATTGCTTGATATCTGCTTTATTTTAAACAGTTTCTGTTTTGGAAGAACATGTTGTTGAATCAGTTTGCGTTTGCTAACGGATGATTTGTGCTTCAGCGCTACAATTCTCATTTCGACCCCCAATGATTGCAACCTGCTCTTGTGTGTGGTCCTCGCAGCATGCGACTGCGACAGCCAGGGCTCGGTGTCACTGCAGTGTGCCCCCGACGGTCAGTGTGAGTGTCGACCGAACGTGGAAGGTCGCCGGTGCGAGCGATGCAAGGAGAACAAGTACAACAAAGAGGCCGGATGTGTCGGTGAGTTGACATGCTCTCTCCACGTCTTGTACGGCCCCATTCCTCTGGCTCTCTCCGGGAAAGTGAATGTCACAAGCCTTGCACTACTCAGTACATCTCTCAACTATAGAAATTAAATCACGGTGTAACGATAAAGAAAACACCAAAAAGTATTCAGCCTAAACTTACCAAACATTTGCATAGGCATTTATTTGCATTTTCGAAACGGCCTAGTGGGATTCTTGTGGGATTGATAGAGGTTAAACTGCATGACCTCAATAACAAAAAGAACCAGACAACAACAGTTGTAATGCACCTTTCGCCAGTAAAGCGTTCGAAGGAGTTAGGTGTCCCAAGTGTCTATTTTACGTTCCGTGCTTTTCCACGCAATCTGTCATCACAGTATTAAAATTAACACAAAAACTTTCCTTTCTAACTCTATTTATATATAAAAAACATTGAATCGCGACTACAGGCATTTTTTGCACCGCTGCGCACAGACTGCCCGACGTGCTACAACCTTGTACAAGACGCAGTCAACGAACACCGCGACAAGGTGTCAGAGCTGGCGCGCCTGCTGAACAACATCGAGAAGAATCCTCAGATTGTCAAGAGCGTCGACTTCGAGGAGAAGCTCGAGCAAGTGATGACCATCGTGAATGGCTTGTGGAAAGACGCCAAGCAGGCATCTGGTGAGCACAGTGCTTTTTTATGGGTGTGGCTAGTGAGGCGCTCATCGTCCCGGCATTTCTAGGAGCCACGAACTCCCAATTTAGTGTAATAAATAAATTATTATGGCTTTCAAACTGATAACTTCTATTTTCGTGTTCATTCTATTGTGTTTTGTTTTTCTTTAAGTTTAGTGCTTTTCCTTAGCGAGCTGCTTTTCTTGAAAGTATGTGGGTTAACCCGAGTGGTTGGCATCCGCTCCTAGGAACACTCTGAGCATGATAGATCAATGCCCACGTTAACGCGTTAAGTTACTTCTGAGCCCTCCGCTGTATGACGTATAGCTATATAGTTTTCTTATATAGTATCATTTTGATAACAGCGTTGAATCTGATAGTAATATTATCTCTAGTAACAAACAGCGCAGTGCAAAATTGAGCTGCATCGAAGTTTCCACCTGTGACGTATGTCCAAAAAGCCGAGAAGACATGCCAACCAGGTGTAGTAGTATGGGACAAAACTGTTACGACTTGTTTTATTAGCACTTGGGCTGTTAAGCTACTCGTTCCGTTCGTGCTTACAGAGTTCCTGAAACACTTTTTTGAGTAACCATGGAAATAATTCACTGGAAAAGCGTATTGACTCCCAAATTTAATGCCATGAAATATTTAAGAATCAGTCTAATACGAGCGGAGTTACAAAAGTTTGTCACATGCTTCAGTCGCATTCTCTCTTCTCTTGTCCCAACGAAAGCGCTGAAACCTAAGCAGAGAGAGACGGGAGGGGCAAACAAAAACGTGTGCCTCGTGACCTTGATCACTTTTTTTTCAATTACACAGCTTTTTAAATTCGCTCATGTACGCACGCACAGACATGTGACAACTTTTTGTAGCGATCTCTGTCGAAACCGAGTGCGTCATGTTCAAATCAGCCAATGGTTGATAAATAGGTAAACCACGTGTGATTTTTTAGCGTTTTCCGTCAGTTGTTGAAAGAAGAGAAAGTAATTTTTAGCTGACTTTGATCATTTATTGTGAATTCAAGGCTGCGTGCTACGCCATAACATTTGGCTCGCGTATTCTCAGGAGCCTCTGCTACTGATCAGCAGCGTTTTCTGACCATGCTAAAAAACTGTTGCAGGGCCCTTTAACGAACAGCTGCACTACAGTAGTTACTTGGTGCAAAACGAGCAAGAAGGGTGGTAGGAGGGGCCAGCAAGAAGAGCCTCATGGAGTCCTCTTTGCTTGTCTTTGCCTTTCGTTTGTTTGCTTTCTTCCTCACCCTCCGATGAATTCCACGCACAAGTGGGCCTCTTTCCTGATTTCAAACCACTGCATCCTGCTGCCTGCTTGCTTTGCGCTATAGTGAACCATATAGTTTTGCGCTTGCTCGATATGGTACTTCACTATACTTCGAGCGTATGATTGGCCATGGACAGCAATCGAAGTGGCATGTTATTTATGTCCGAAGTTTTGAGTGTATAAATATATCTCTTGTTCGGCTCGAGCCTCACCGTTTCTTTCTGTCTGACGCGTCAGGCACCGGCGAAAGCCTGGCCGAGCGATTGGATGAGCTGCTGCGGCGCATCAAGAAAGTTCAGGACATCGCGGGCAAGATCGGCCTCGAGATCTCACTTGCCGAGAACATCGTGGAGGGCGCCGAGCGAAACATGACCAGCGCTGAGGCGATCGTCGAGCGCATCAAGGCCACCCTGATGCAGGCGCAGAAGTACCTTGAGGATGAGGCGCAGAACGCGCTAAAGAGGGCGCTCGAGCGATCCGACCGATACGGACAGCAGTCTGAGATGATGTCGCAGATCGCGCGCGACGCGAGACAGCTGGCCGACAGGTGGGTTTTTCACTGCATCAAAACAGTGGGATCACTTCTTGTGGACCACTCTATAAGTACAGCTCCAAATGGCCCACTTCTTTCTTGCCAATGACTCAAATTTTATTGCATATCAGAAAATATCCCTAGGTGCAAGCACTAGCAACGAACGCATGACGTTTCTCCTCCACTGTTTATTCGCTTTTATATTGCACTTGCATCTTAGGCAGAATGTACTTATGGAAGTGCTTAGATCTTTAGGTGCATTTTGTCTCTCCACATCATCGCATGCCTACGTACGGTGTAGGGAGCCATAGGAACTCGTAGGTAGCCTGTTTCGTGATAATCGTAGCACAAAAGATGCTATTCTGAAGGGTTTTCATGAAATCATTTTTTGTTTCGCACATTCGCACGCATTATCTATTTTCTCATGAGGGATTTGACTTTCTGTCAACATAAGAGCCTGTAGGAACTCATAGATAACCAGCTTCGTTATAATTGTAGAGCAACAGGTGTTATCCTGAAGAGTTTTAACAAAATCATATTTTGGCTCACGCATTCGCGTGCATCATCTATTTTGCCATGAGTGATTTGACGTACTTTGAACATTGCGTTTTTTTTTACGCCGTGAGCAGTTCTCGGCCTCAAATCTCCAAGCAGAAGAATGAATTAGGGAGGGGTTGGGATAAAATGCTGTGTTAGTAATCAACTTCTTGGTAAATTAAACAACCACGATGATAAAGAAAACGAACAGTGCGGCATCTAAGGTGCCTCAATGTTCAATTTCTTTTGGAGCGTTTGTAAGCTGGCATCAAGATTATCCATGATGTAGTCAAGGACGACCTTATCACTGCCAAGGTAAGAAGGGCAAACAGCGGAGCTGAGTGTCTCCACCCTGCTTGCATTCTTTTTGACCACCCTGGTATATAGCACCTTTAAATTCAATGGGACTACAAAGAGAAAAAAATGATTCGGTTTAGATTGATAAAGTGTTTCTGGGAACTCTTAGTGTCATAGATTTTATCATCAGAAGTTCATTATTAGAGGAGATCATCAAGATCAAAGTACCAGTTTCAGGTCCCGCACCATAGTCTGCGTGCGTGACTTCATGAATTTTTAAGGGCATTTGTCATATTTTGCCAACATTAGCTACACAACATCCCGAAACTTTGTATGCTCAGTCTGTGGCCCCATCAGAAGACTATGTGCTAACTTTGTGCCTCTTAGGAGCTATGTAGGCTTCAGTAAACAACGTGAAAATCTATGACGCCAAGATGTTTGGTGCTGAAATTGCAAGGTGGGGTCGCCATCCGCATTTTTTTTCCCGTTTTCTCGCTCACTAAGCATTTTCTCACGGTAAGCGTGGTAATTTCGGAATCAGGAGAAGCTAATTTACTAATAACAGAAGAAGCATTTTTTTAATGTCCCTTTGAGTTGAAGTTAATTTCATATAGTAGCAGTTCTGGCACGTGAACGACTTTTCTATTTGGTTGGTGTGTGAATGAAGAGTGGGCTGTTCAAAAGACGGTGCAGTTTCCGTGTGGCCAGCACTTCTCGAACACCAGCTCAAGATTAGCGGTGCTGGCCAAAATGTTGCTAACTATATAATTAATCAAAACCACCGATTGGACACGACAAATAATGGCGAGCAACTTTTCACTCGATTCCAGCGGTCGGAACACGTGGCAAGATATTGTGTTCTTTAAGGGCACCTGTCCAACGAGAAAATCTCTGCCCCAACCACGCAATCAATGCAACTCTTACGCTGAGCGTAATAATTGCTGGCATCATCGCGGCGACGATAAAAAGGCCAATGGTTAACTGAAGTCTTGAATATATGATTAGATTTGCTAGTGCCTCATGAAAGTAACATCTTGTCTCAAAAATGTTATCTTAATTCGCAGTCGGCACAAGGCACAATCGCCAAAACCGAGCAAGGAAGAAATAACATCCTCTGAACAGTGTATACGAAGGACAAGGGCAATTATGAACACATTGTTATTTTGTTCCCACAAGGATCCACTGTTGCTATGCCAGCACGGTGCCGTGTGATGTGTAGTTTCCGAAAAAGAAGATCGTCACACATGAGAGTTCCCGCTGCTCATGCTAACATTTTCTTGCGTTGACTACACGTATACCCTTAAAGTAGTGGAACTCTCAAGGCACGCTGCTGTCGTCTCTCAGTCAGGCGACGGCAGCGTCTTTCTACTGAAGGTGTGACAAAGTCTTGGTGCCTTGTGAGAAGTTCAATGACAGAAGGTTCAAACTCAGCGTGTCTGACCACCTGTTTATGCAGGCACTTTCCTGTCTACGCCACTGGCCTTCTCTCACTGAGGGTCTCAGCCCGATAGGACTTCCCCCGAGGCACCTGTTGCTGTAGCAATGAGACATTTTTATTGCACATTTTCTGTCTTGAAGTTTCGCCGTGCTGCCGATTGATATTTGTGATATTTGCTACCATAGCTATTCTTTATTTAGTGGATCGCACCTTTCAAGTAAGCCATGAAGTGTCCCAACCTAAAGAATGAACGTCTAACATGAGGGCCAGCACCTTGCGGAAGTTCTCACTCCTGTGTACGCTTGTTGCATAAAGCCATGTTTTTGGTCACCCTGTTTGCTTTCAAGCGCTTCCAGAACTGGCGCCTCTGTGAAGATAGCCGTTTGCGCCATCGGCTATGGGGCATGTGACACATGCTGTGCGCCTGGTCATTTGCTTTCTCCCATATACAGGCATGAAAGCGATGCCCAGGAGATTGCCAACTTGGCTGCGGATGCACTCAACACTTCATTGGAAGCACGAGCCATCGCTGAAGGGGCACTCAGCACGCAAGATAAGACAGAGAGTGAGATATACCTTCTCAAGAACAGGTACGAAAGTGATGTACCAACACTCGCACGTTTCCTTAGCAACCGTTCATTTGTTCAAGAATACTATTCCTCCTAATGCCTAACTATATGACCATACGCTTTTTGGTTAATATTGGCTGCTGATAACTATGTGTCGTGTGCAGTAGTTAGCAAATTGATCGGCAAAGACAGAAGGGGCATGCCAGGCCAACGCTGAACACAGAAAGGGTGCGTAAGTGAGAGTTGCGCTCTGAAATAAATTTATGCAGGTGTCGTGAGTAGTTGAGATAAAATGGTCGAAGGAACGTTCGCCAACACGACACAAAGTGAAGTACTCCCATGGCACATTATATCAGCTCTATGTTACGTCTGCGTTCCATTTGATTTCCTCTTAACGATGACTTGATGCGGGCATATTGAAGAGAGAGCCCATGCGCTACGATGCATGTTGCGCGGCTTACAGCGCCAGCTCTTCGAATGACTCGCGCTCTGCTTCTGAAAAGCCATGAATATTTACTTTGTCACCATTGATTGATGATTGGTACGTGTAGTTAACCGTCCCAATCCACCATATGGTTATGAGAGACGCTGTAGTGGAGGGCTGCGGAAATTTCAACCACCTGGGGTTCCTTAACGTGCACCCAAAATCTGAGCACACGGGCCTACAACATTTCCGTCTCCATCAGTTAACATCTGATGAAAACCTTGGCAAAAGTGATATTCAAACTGAAGACACCGCACTGAAATGGTGCCAGAGACTGAACAGGACAGACGAAAGTTTAGTCTCTTCACAATGCTCTCCTAATAAATTGAAAGCGCGTGGCACACTTGTAATTCAAGGCATGAAAATTCGAATGCTATATACAAATGCATGCGAAAGTGTGGTGGTAGGTTGCCGACAGCTCCGAGAACACACGAATGCCACAGCAAATGCACGTTTTACTGGTAACATACATATAGAATTCGCGTCGTCAACTGGCTTTTAATGTCATAAAAAGGCGACTGTTCACCATCGACATACACATAGCCTTCGCTCAAAAAGATCGTGTTTAACTTGCTTGATCCGGCAAAGGTTGTCAATGAATCGCTCTCTGGTCTGATAAGATTCACACCATGAAAACGTTTATAATCTTTTTATTTCGGAGCAAGTCACAGGTGACTCTGCATGTGGAGGGTGATCAGATAACAGAGTGTGCGGAGCGTGTTAACGAGCTGAGATAGCGCAGGCTGAAGGCGGGAGCGGGGTACTCAGCGACCGGCTTTTGGTAGAAGGGCGGCGAAATGTGCGCGGCGCAGCGTCCCTTGGCCGAGGTTGGGAGGCCCATATGCGCTAAGCTGCCGAACAGGATGCGTGTGCCTGTCAATGTTGATAATTGGATAGCATGCGCTACGCTATCACAAAGGCTTGCCACTGTTCGGGGTTCATTAGACGCTGGTAATACCATTCGCGTGTGCACGCGCGAGTACGTGCGTGTGTGTGTCTGTGTGCCATCTGTGCGACATTGTGAAAAACATGTCTCGACTACAACAAAGCGCTGTTCTAGCAGAAGGAAGTGACCACACTGCACAGTCACTGTATTACTATAAATACGTCGCACTTGTGTGCGTGTGTGCATGCATGTCTGTGTGTGTGCATGTGTGCAACAAAAGATAATAACTATGCGCTTAGCAGTTGAAGGACGCACTAGGGGCCGGATTTCGCTATCGCGTTCAAGTCTTAAAGGCGAAGCTTAAGGGTCCTCCAATTTTTCGTGACCGGCGCACAGGTCTAGATGGGAGGCTGCCGACAGGCGAATTAAGGGCTAAGATTCAATAGCTAGTGTGCATTTCATCCTTTTTTGGAGATTGTGCATTTCGTGCTCATGTTATATAAAGAACTCGGGGGGGGGGGGGGGGGGGGTGCCTCACAAATTCGCCAAAAATGACACCAAGCTGGAAGCCATCTTCTTCTCCTCGGCCGATGTATAAGGAAGCACTTTATGCCAAACATGATGCCAACTGTGACAGCAACACCACGCCGAAGTGTCGATATACTTGCTCTTGCAATAAGAAAATAATAGTTTTCTTCAGTTTTGATCCTGCGATTGTGGCTACATGCACAAGTTTCGTTCAACAATTTCTTGTTACTGTTTTGCGGTAACGTATATGCATTTGTGGTCAGCGCAATGTGTTGTCCCTTGACCGTGTGGCACGCAGGATGCGTGAGATCATGGACCTGATGCTGCGCACCAAGAAAATGGCTGAGGAAGCGAGGGAGGAAGTTCGCAAGGCGTACGATGATGCCCTGCGGGTCCTGTCTGAAGCAACATCGGTCCAGATGCCGGATATCGACATCGATGAGCTCTCTCGCAGGGCGCAAGAAATCATCGACGAGGTATGCGATCGGGCTTTCACACACCAGCAGAGGGGTTGCTGAGCGCTTCATTGCAGTTCTGGGGCATAGTGGCTTTGTATGTTTTAGAGTTTACACCGAAACTTGCCCCCTGCATACTATAGTTGCAATGTTAGCTCGAAAAGAATACAACTGTAATGGAAAATAAAAAATGTTATAATAAGAAGCTAGTGGCTCAAGTTGACAGTTCTGCAGGATACACATGACATTGTGGCAGATAACGGTCAATCACTGTTATGATGATTAAGGAAAACATATTGAATGACTTCATTCAGAAAGCAGATGGGCACATAACATCAACCGAAGAGTATTTTTTCACTCCAAGTCTACCCAAGAATAAAAAAATCTACCAAAAAAATGAAGCTAATGTCATTACGAACACCCAAATGAAACATTGAGGTCGCTTACAGTTCTTTTCCTTTTTACTTGCCTTGTAGCTCACCCGACCATGACAACTCAGGCGTGTTCTGCAGTAAGGTGTTAAGTTCGAACGTGTCTTGTGTTAAATCGATGGTGTTCTCTGGCGCACTCTTTTTTTTTGTTTCTTGTTTTTGTTTATTTCTCCCTCCTTCAACGCGAACGTTCTCCCCTATTTTCGGTTGAGGATATGTCAGTGTTACTCGCGAGGTGATTTCCTATCAGGCTCTGTGATTGCCTGTTTTCGACAGCAGCATATTTGCTGCCCACACTGCATTGGCCCAGAGTTGGCAGTATCTGCATAAATGTTGGCTACGACTGCAGTCGTGTTACAGAATCTTTGTGTGGGTATTTTTCACCGGTACTTGCGATGTAAAATTTTAGTGCAGTATGTGAGAGCGGAGGTCAATTGCTGAGTGAAGTCGTTAATTTAATACCACATCATCCAACTTAATTTATCAGGTGTCAACGACATTTTAAGAGTGTGATTGTTAAGTCTGAAATTCTCTCACTCGAAAGAGATAATTTTATGGCGTATAATTAAAAGAAAACTGTTTATTAAGATTATAAAGAGATCCAAATGGCTAAAAGCAAACTAGAATCCACTAAAGTAGCATCTTTCGTTGCCTATGCCATGCAGCTTCAGAACTTGCAAGACGAAATTATTTTGTAATTATTATTATCGTTATTTTGTTTTGTTTTTTTACTTTTCCATCTATAAGTTGCCGAGTGCGCACATTCACTGGCTCTTCCCCAGAGATGCCGATGTTAATGTGTAATTGGGTGCAAAGGATTGTTAAGTCCAATATTTGTACGGTGGCCATATTAGGGAATTAGAATTATTTGGAGAATTACAAACTCGCTCACAACTCACACCGCAGAATTAATAAACTCATAGGCTGATCACTGCTTACGTGCTACTTGCGTGTGTCCTCGACAGGTACAGAGCGGCCTGTTCCCATAACTTTTCTGTCACATTCATTTTCTGTCACAAGTTCGAGAATCGGAAAAGTTTCACTGCAGTCTTCTGAACTTTTCTTTTCAATGAAACGGCTATTTAGGTTGTCTTGTCCTTCTCACGTTTGCGTTAGTTCACTTGTAGATTCCAACAGCAGTCATATTTCAATTTACCAGAGCCAGCAACACAAGCAACAAGCTATGAGCACTGGCATTTATGTACAGTATCGACCTTGAGTGAGTAGCGTGCACGAATGGTAATTGGTAGGTAGTAGGTAGATCCTCGCAGCGAAATGCATCGAGAGACATTACTACTCTGTATCCGTCCCAGGCCGCTCGTATCCAGAAGGAAGCCGACGAATTGCTGGACAAGCACCATGCCGTCCTCGAGAGGGTGGGGCCACAACGTCAGGATGCCGAGGACCTCCTCGCCGAAGCACATCGCCAACAGCAGGTATGCGTCACACCCATATAGATCTTAGCAACAGTTCATATTGTTGGCCACCATCGGCATAGTGGGAAATGAGAAAAAAGAATGCAGGGTTGATCCCCCTCTCATAAGAATTGCTGTAACATGAAAGTAATTTGTGACCTTACTGAAGTAGTTCAATGTTTACTACTTATTTATATATCTACATTACAAGAGCTTGCAGAATGCCTATTGGTGTTTGGCAGCTATAGCACATTTAACGTGGATGCCTCCATTAAACTCATAAGAGCATCGTTGAATGGACGCTGAGCTTGGGCTAAGGTTGCCATCCCGCAGATATTGAGAGCTGTGGCCAGATAACATGGAAACGCAAAGCATGTCGTGTCTCCACTGTAGCCCGGGGCTGCGATTTATGTCGGGGCGAGTGTAAGCGCGAAACACGTAGTACACAGCCAGGCGAGGCATGTGTGCGTTGCAGAGTTTCTTTAAGTTCGAAGCAAGGCCTGTCCATACGTATCTGTCGCAGCTCGTTAGGGTGTGGCTTTTTGGCGGGGTGCCATGCCCTTGCCCTGTGGACAGAGTAGGCACGTGGATATGCGAAACTGCACGCCCTCTCTCTATATATGGAAGAGGGCCCGGCGCCGCGTGAAAAAGCTACACGCTGACGTGCTGCAACTGGTACATGGGGTCAGGCCTTTAGGGTTACGGCGTATTGGCGTGCACTGTCGTCTGCTCTCATGCTGGTCCATTTGTTTGAGTGCAAGAGATGGCACCACCACATCAGCAATCGTTTGGCGGGAGCGAGCGGACGGCGCGCGTTGACCAAGGTATATGTAAACTGATAGCGTAACTGTCACCATCTACGCATGGAGGGGAACATTAAAAACAAATAATAATAAAATAAATATGATGTCAACTCCGGAAGTGGTAACGATGTCGTCCATTTGTCCTGCCTAGTGCGAAATTGATTTTTTCTTAATTGCTGGCCTTTTGTGAGCAGTTATAAGTAAGCAATTTTACCGTGCCTTATGGCTCGCTAGTTGCAGGCCGTTAAGGAAGACCAACACGAAAACTTGAGGAAGCAAAGCTGTTTTATTAGCCACGTGGTGTGCTTGCAATATACACAAAAAACTTTGCTGATAAAATTGTGACAAAACTTTCACGAACACAATAGAGTAACAGTTCGAAAACTCACGCTTCCCAATCGTGCAAAACCACTGCAGTGAGACAGCAGCTTTAATTATATCGCTTTGGCAGCTGTAGAGTGTGGCTTTTTATTGCTTAACGTGTCCCATTCACAGTCACCAAAGGCGGTCGAGGGCATGCCAGCCGTGCACTAACGAAGGCAGTCGGCAGTCGCAGGAGTGGTTATCTACACATTCTGTAGCTAGTGCAGCTTTGAAACGGCACGCCAGTGAACAATACATCAGCAAATTAATAAATTGGGGAAGGTACGCATCAAATCACCATGCAAAAGTGAGCGATGCCTCGTTGACCTGGCATTGCACCAAACTAAACTCAAGCCCTCATTGAAGATTGCCTGAATATGGCCCCCATACACTGAAAAAAAAAAAATAAGAAGAAGAACTGCTCACCGAGTTCCAATTCGGTTTCCGTAAAACAAATCTACATTGCTTCAACAGAAATAGTATATTTTAATATAGTTTGAAAGGCACTAATAACGGTTTGGTTGTTCATTGATTATACTAAAGCATTCGACTTAGTTAATCATGAAATTCTGATAATATTGGTTGTTATGGCAGGCAGGGTTGTGCACTTGAACTAATAAGGTCATATCTAAGCAACCGGCAACAAATAGGCGAGATTGATTAGGCACGTTCAAAGGCACCCTGCACACTTCTGCAGGGGAGCATATTAGGCCTTCTATTATTCATATTATATAATAATAATGTTGTATGTATTATTTCTAGATGTTGGTGCACGTTAAAAAACCCCAGGTGGTCGAAATTTCCAAAGCCCTTCATAATGACGTCACTCATAATCATATGGTGTTTTTGGAATGTTAAACTGCACATATCACTGATCATCAATCTATCAGTGAAGTTTGTATCAGTTCTAGTGCAAAGTCTATTGTGTATGCCAACGAGACTAGCATTTTCCTTTCTGGTAACAATATGAATGACATCATAGGCATATGTGATGATAAATTACAAAAGTTAGTAGTATGGTCATTAAAAAATGGCATGAAAATAACAAAAGTAAAACAAAGGCTAGTATTTTCAGAACAAAAAATAAAAAAAATCTCCTCCATACAGATTTAGTTTTAAATGGTCATGGAATGGAAATATTGGATAGTTTTAAGAGTTTAGAGGTAGTATTTTCTGCTAGTATGTCCTGGTATGGTCATGTCAATGCAGTAATTGCTAGTTTTCGTTGTTTGTCCCAGCGGGCATTGATGCCTGTGGCAATAGGTATTCGACTGTTTGATAGATAGATATGTGTGGTTTAGCATCCCAAAACCACCATATGATTATGAGGGACGCCGTAGTGGAGGGCTCCGAAAATTTTGACCACCTGGGGTTCTTTAAGGGGGGACGCGGGTCATGGAATGGTCAAAAATGACCAAAAAATCGTTTTTGAGAAAACCGCATTTTTCGAATGTTTGCACCAATAAGCACCTGCCATGAAAGTTTCAACACTGAATTCGATCGGGAAATATAATAAAATCGCATTTCAAAACAGCACGGTAGTCGCGAAACGCTCCGCAACACGGAATATTTGGTCAAACTTCCCGCGCGCACAGACGACGAAGCAGGGAGCCGATCGCCGCCATCTTGGTCTTGTTTTGAAGCTGATTTCTTTGTGCTCATTTTGCGGCCCCTCAATATGGCGTCGCCTATATTGAGGGGCCGATAACTCTCGCCCCTTTTCTGAAAGCCACTTCCGTACCGCCGATTGGCTAAAGCGCGCGCTCGCAAGTCGAGCCCCCTGTCTCGCGCTTCCCATTGGCTGGCGCGGCCAAGGCCACCCGCCGTTTTTTTTTTTTTTCTTGCTCCGCCGGTCCGCCGCAGCGGTTGCTGTTGCGCGCGCGTGTGGTGTTCTGCCTTTCGTTTCAACGCTATGGCCGGTGTGAGCGGAGACCCTCGGCTAAAAAAGAAGACTCGTCAAGCGTACGGCAAGAAAAAACGGCATGCGTGGAACGCGCAACGAAAGGAAGGCGACGATATCGTGCTGCCAAGAGCTCCTGATGTGGCCGAGGGAGTTCTTTCCAACGACGGCACGCTGCCGCGACTACCTGTTGTAGCCGAAGCGGTGCCAGCGGTGGTGCTCTCGCCTGGCCCTAGCTGCAGCATTTTCTCGGGTGATCACATTATCGGGTCACCTGGTACTTCAAGCAATATTCAAGACCGTGTCGCCACGATGTTCTTCAGTGCGGAGGAGACAGCCGAGCGCACTAGAAATGCGGCGGATTTGAAGGAGACCTTGGCATCACAGTGCGCGACGGAACGAAATTTCAAGCTACTCGACGTTGAACTGGAGGACAACGGCAAAGAAAACGGCACGGAATTCTCAATCGTCGACATAGCCGTGATAAACTCGTTGTTTGGGCTCGTCGTGTGCCCCGAGTGTGGCGCGAAAAGCATGACTTTTTCGAGGGGAAAAAAAGACTACGGCCTGTGCTCAAAGCTTGTGCTCTCGTGCAGTGACTGCGACTTCTGCGAGGACTGTTTTTCGTCCCCAAGAGTAGCCGGCGACAGTGAGGCCAAGATTAGGCCTTTTGAAGTCAATTTGCGTGCAATGAAGGCCATCAGCAGCATCGGTAAGGGGGCAACAACTCTCTCGGACTTTTTCGCTGCCATGAATGTATCTCATCGAGGCCTTCACCACAAAACCTTCCAAAGCCACATGAAAACAATGCAGAAAGCCTGCAGTGCCACTGCCACCGAGTGTGAAGGTGCTAGTGTTGCTTGCATCAAGGACTTGTATGCGGAGTTGGGCAATGCACCGGGGAACATCGACGTGATTTATGATGGCACCTGGTTGACCCGTGGGCACACTTCACACAAATGTGTCGGGTGCATCATCGAGATGTATACAGGTTTAGTGATAGACCATGTTGTCTTGTCAAACTTTTGTTTGGGGTGCACCTTGGGACCTAAAGAAAATGACGAAGGATACGCTGCCTGGCTTGTTGATCATGCACCTGTGTGCCAAAGAATTATTGATTGCAAGGCTGGTCAAATGGAAGTGGAAGCAGCCCTTCTATTATTCCAGCGGTCACTCGAAAAGCATAATCTTCGATATACGACAATGCTTTCAGATGGGGACAGCAAAACCTACCACGCCCTTACAACAAATGAAGTCTACGGCTACATCAAGGTGGCAAAAAAAGACTGCATAAACCATGTGCATAAACGAATGTTTGCAGCCTTGCGTACCCTCAGCGACAAAAGAAAGCTCAAGGTCAGTCACTTGGTGGTAAGGGCAGGCTGACTCAGGATAAAATCAAGAAGATCGCCTCCTACTATGGTTATGCCTTGCGCAGTCACAAGCATGATGTGCCAGGGATGCAGAAGGCTGTGCTGGCCACGCTGAAGCACATGTCATCCACTGACCAGACACCCAGGCATGAGCTTTGTCCTGAAGGCCCCAAGTCATGGTGCAAATTCAACAGGGCTGAGGCCAACAATGAGGAGCTGCCGCCGCACGACCATAGCTTGCCCGACTTTGTGTGCGAGGCACTGGAGCCCGTGTTCACGTGCCTTAGTGAAACAGCCCTTCTGGAAAGGTGCAGCGACGGCCTCACGCAGAACCCCAGTGAAAGCTTGCACTCTGTGATTTGGCAGCAGGTTTCGAAAACGCAGCATGCCTCATTGCGCAGCGTCGAAAGGGCAGTGGCTGAAGCTGTCAGCCGCTTCAACCAAGGTGTCACGAGGAGCAATGCGGGAATTGCGGGAAAACTAGGGTACAGCCCTGGAGATCGCTCGGTGCTCCGCAGCCTCGAAAAAGACAACATCAGGCTGGAGAAGTCTAAGAAAAAGCACACTGACAGCTGTTCAACAAATACCCGCCTTGCAAAGCCACACAAACCAGCAAGAGACTCGGCCTACAGTCCTGGTATGCTGTAGAGCAGTTTCAGTGGACAGCAGTGGCAATTTTCCGACAAAAATTGCATTTTGGACTGGAACATTGTGCGTAGATATGCTGTCTATGGAAGAGCCACTTGATTATACTATTCAAGTGTTTGCTACCATGCTGTTCGAGTGCTATTTTGCTTGCTGTGTACTGAAACAGACACACAGCGTTGTAAATACAGTTTCTCATGCCGTTTCGGTGGCCACTGAACTATTATTTTGAGAGTCTGCAGTCACACATTTAGTACGGCCATGTTCACAAAACACAGAGCTACAAAACAGTACCATTTGTATTGTGGTAAGTTAATTTCAAGAAAAGCTACTTTGTGTTGAAACTTCAAATGCGTTTTTCTCAGTTCGATGTTTTTGCACACCGTACTCAGTCTTATGGGTGTTTTTTCTGTGTTATATTTGAGCAAAAATGGCAAATGTGGTATCATTTTATTCGTATTGAAATGATCTGGGGGGTGATGCTATTTTCATCACTCGTGCACTCCCATGAAATTTACAGTTAGGTGTAGCAGTGGCTGCTAATTAAAAAAAAAATGTTCATAGTAATTTCATGATCCTTTTTTTTTTTTCATGTAAAATGCTTCTGAATGAATCAAAATAACATCACCCCCTACAGTAGATCTTTAGCAACAGTGTCATGCATTCAGATTTTGGTTTAGGAAGACTAAATTTTCATAAAGCCCCGTAACGAGTATGAAACTAATTTGATTTCAGACATTAATATTTTATGAACTATTGCAGCTATCAAAAAACTAATTACAGATTTGAAATCAGCGTAAAAAACTGCTCAAGACTGCCCATTTTCATCTAGCTGGCATTAAAAATAAGAAAAGTTGTCTAAAGACCCACCTCCCCCCTTAACGCGCACCCAAATCTGAGCACACGGGCCTACAGAATTTTTGCCTCGACTGGAAAATTCAACATTTTTCGTTGCAAGTTTCTCTAACAATATAATTTGACCATGCGTTGACTATAGAGACACTCTTTCTGCGATCAATGCTCAAGTACCAGATTGCAATGAACAAGTACACCTTCTCGGCCGCGAGAGACAACGCCAACACAGACAGCATCTGCTAGCGAGTTTCTTGACTAAAAAAAAAAAAAAAAACTGACTGCTCACTTTGCACAACCGTTCACTGGCCACCCCGTATACTTGTGCTAGATCTTGACTCGCAATGTAGTGCCGGTGGGAGATTTCTGTGGTGTTTTGTTCAACAATAATGATTCGCAGCGTGCACATTAACCAAAATGGGACTGCAGGTCTCTGTGTCCGATTGAACCCAGTGTTTTAGGAGAGAAGCCCTGTTGGGTCTTGGCGTGTGTCGTTTTTTGTAGTGACGGTCCACCTGCTTGATCAGAACTGGTTTACCACATGAGGAAGCCATATATATCACTCAAGCGTATATCAACCGAGTACATGAAGCATTCTGTCTATGTCTCACTTACCTATCATTTGTCACGGTACCCTGACTACTCGCATAAGTTGCAGAAAATAAGTAACAGTTACATGAGCAAATTTATATGTAGCGGTCTGTTTGGAAGAACAAATGAGAGTTTATCTTTTTTCACCCTCATTTAGATCACGGACGAACTGCTGGCTGAGGTGGACACAGCTTTCGCTAAAGCGAAAGAGGCAGCCGCCGAGGGTGAAAGGATTCTTGAGGAAGCTCAGAACACGCTCAAGGTGCTCAAAGGTACGTCCTCTCTGCCATGAGGTGGCCTTTTTTTTTTGTAGCGATAGAAATTATATGAGCACTCTCGGCTTATTTTTTGCTTCGCCGTTTTTCTCCGCCGTTATGTCCTGTATATATAAAAGCCATCAAGGAAAATAGTTCAGAACCAACATGTTTGATCCCTCTGTCGTAGGAATCGATAAAACACGAAAGTAAAATGCGTCCTTACGGCAGTTTATTGTTCACTGTACATTGATATAAGAGAATTTGTGCAGTGTCCATTGGTGTTTCAGAATAACACTGCTTAACGTCGATGTATTCACGTTAACGCTAGTCATACACGTCCATCTCCACGGCCACCATCTATCAATAATGATAAAACAAAACCCTTGTGGTTGTAGATTAGTGCGGAACCAGAGGAAGCGATGTGAGAGCCAGAGTGACGCGAATGATTGGACGCTGAAGTTTGGCTAAGATCGCCTACTCCCGGCATGTTGGAGCTGTTGAACGCCGTGGCCAGATCAGAAGGAAATGCAACACGCGTTGTGTCTTGTCTGTCGGTCGGCCACGATTTGTCCCCGAATGAGTGTAAGCGGGGAACGCAGAGTTAGTATATCCACATAAAGCAGGCGCGTTTCTTTATGCATTGCAGAGCTGTTTTTGTATGAATGAATGTTGTGAGCAACACCAACGTTTCAGGTAAGATCGCCACCTGTTTGTGTGTTTGGCGTTGACGAACTCACACATACTTCTATTATAAAGGCGCCAAATGAGATGAACGCTTAGAAACGACAAGTTGAGAGAACTCTCGTGGATGTCATGGTGATGATGCATTACTGCACTTTACCAAAATGCTGAGAGGACTGTGGTGGATATAAAAGACGTATTTTTAAAAGTTTAAAGTACGTGACCATGGCATAGTGAATAGTATGCTTGGCATCAGCTGCCAAGGACCCGGAGAACACAGGTTCGACTTTCGATGAGGAAACATTTGTCTTCTGATCGTGCGTATTTTAAACGTCATGTCCGTGACGGAAATACATCATTGAAGTCTTGGTGGGCCCCGGCATAATAAACTTAGGTGCTAAAATATTTTCGGATGCGCGGATTCAAATAGGGGACCTCAGCGCACGGCTCACGATTTTCGCCGTAGTAACGGTGAGCTATTCGTGTACACAATTTATGCCTATCTACCAAGATTTATGCCTCTCTACCAAGATGGCAGGCAGGGTGCGCTCGGCGGCCTGCTTGTGTACCCGTCTATAGGGAGCCCGCTTATCTCGCGTTGGCAGAGAGTTGTGCGTCTTGGGCTTTCACGGGAGCAATTCTGGCTATAGGGCGCACAAGGTCACTTTGCATCTCTCGTAATCATATGATGGTTTTTGGGACGTTAAACCCCACATATCAATCAATCAATCAAAGGTCACTTTGCTCGCTGTAGTCTCTTTGTTTATAAAAAGAGCGCACTATTGAAATACAGTGAAGTTACAACTGTGACACTATAATCCGTTTCATACATTATCTGTGACACTGTGGACGCTAGCAAGACTTCTTCCAGTTGAAGACGATGCGTTTGCAACAGAAAATAGTTACTACTAATAACACATTTTTTTCATTATGACAAAAAACTAATTGAAGATATTTCGCACTCTACTAAAAAAAACGCAGATGAATATCTGTTACACGGCTGGATAGCTTGTAGTTTCCACTTAACGTCACATACAGGCTCCCTGTGCTGCATTTGTCATGATGGCGGCCACCTGGACTTTCTATCTCATGAAACAGTGTCAGTGTAAAGGAGGATATCGTATAGTCATTTGGTCCCTGCGTGCTTTCCTCGTCTTCTTCTCTTGGCCAGTCGCACCACGGGGGAGAACAGAGAAATGCAAGGGTGCACCGGCATTAATCACATGTCATGCGAGTGTCCTCGAGACACGCCGAGTTGCACGCTTTGCTGGTAGAAGTTTCTGCATAGTTTTTACAGCATTGCACCTGATGTGTAAACAATGTAAAGTTTGCATTCATGCTGTGCATGCCTGTGCATGTAAGTTTCATGCATCCTTTGAGTTTGAACCACAGGTTGAGTGTTGTACTCTGACCCTTTTTTCTTGCGCTAGTCCTGTGTACGTTCTTCTTGTGCATTTTTTCTTCTTGAGGGGTGCGCTGGACGTTTTAATCTGGTTTCCATTCTTCCCTTGACGTTCCAATTCGTATCTATCGCATTCATTGCTTTGCGCTTGCGGCGAAACTCTTACTTTTTTTTTTCGTGATCTCTAAGTTTTTACGTGCGATCGCATAGGTCGCTCGTTGGATAGTAATTAGGCATCTGTCCAGTGGGGGCTACGAGAGTTTCAGTGGGCTAAAATTGCATTAGGATATTTATCAGAGACTTCAGACTCTGGAGTTTCCCCAAGATGCGCAGGGCCGGCTGTTAGAACCTGAAAAAGAGGATTGAAGTAGTGCGAAGTTCGACCTTCTTGCAAAGTAAGGCTGTGGAAACAGGCGTGACTAGCGAGTGTTAAACAGGAATGTAACTTAATATTGCATGTGTTAGCGCAATTAGCACTCTGAAAAAAGCCAGTTTCCCAGCAAGAACGAAGCAACGAATGTGGTAGAAACAGCTTGGAATGTAACGCTGAGAACGGCAAGCACATCGAAACTTGCAATGCGCTGCTCACGCAGAAATGACGCACGACAACAACACACAATGGACAAGAGGGAACGAAAGTTTACAGCTCGACACTTAATGCGTTGTTTAAACAAGAAATAAGAAGCTGTTCCACTAAAAGGGTTAAGCAATGAATGAGATAGGAACATATTTGAATGTTTTACGAAGCAATGGAGGCTAGTATTTTAGGAGCAGTATTATTCGTAGTAAACACGTGCTTGCCAAGTATCTTGTGGCGTGGCCACCGTAGATGACCGCAATAAGGCTTGTGGTGACGGCATTGATATGCGAAGTGAGGCTGGTAGTAAACTCATTTAGATTCGATCTTGCGTAACTGTACAAAACGCTGGTATAAGAGAACACGGCCACTCCAGGCACACTTTTGGCACTGTTTTTCCGTGTTGAGGGCGCAGCCCGTACAAGCTTCCACTTGCTGTGAGGGCACAAGCCACACGCTGATCATTACCGCAAAAGCGCGTCAACCATCCTCCCCGCTCTCTTGTTTTCTCACGAGATCGGAAAAGCAGTGTTCACTTTGCAGAAAGAGGAAGCTAGTGCATTCTTCCCCATATATATGTATAATCGGCGGTGGCGACGGCAATAACACAGCCGAGACTGTCCATATAATTGCTATCATTATATCTGTACCTTTATTGCTATCGCAATAAAGGTACAGATATGAGTACAAACTAACAAGTGTTCTCGTTGTTACTTCGCTGTGTTTGAAAAGCGTGTTTTTTTTTCCGCAAATGCGGCCTGTGCAGAGAGCGAAGCGACTTTAGTGTGGCCGGCAACTATACGCAATCGTTTCAGTGGTGGTGGTAGTGGTTCATGAAGAAAGAAAGCAGGCACCTAATTTCTGTCTGCCATAAGGCGACACGGCGCAGTGCCTTGCGTAAGCGCGCGAGTCTCCCCCCCCACCAGAGGATAAGTGCGCGGATAAGCCTCTTCCACCTCTGCCACGCAAAGCAGGCGTGGCAGATGAGCGCGCATCAGCGCATCGCGACAAGCTTGGCTCCTTGGTGGCTCAGTGGCTAACGCCGCATGCTCAGGAAGGAAGGTCAGACGTTAGATTCTCTGCATCAGAGTTTTTTTCTGGTTTATTTTTCTTTCTTGCATTACCACGTATATATAGATACGTATACATATAGGGTCAATGATGGTCAATGCTGACGCCGGCAGCAAAAACCAGCTGAGAGTGTTCAAAGAATTGCTATCCCAAAAAAAGGCCTTTCAATTTTTCTACACCAGTAGGACAAGCCATCAATCACTATAAAGTGTTTGTTGGAGTACTCGCCAGTACGTTGGCAAAAACAAAAGCAAACATGACAGCTCCACAGGCTACAGAGAAACGCCGCAATTGACGTGACATTTGTGTTGTATTACTACTTAAGTAAAGAACTGCATAGCAGCATTTTGTTTTAGCAATTTTTCGTGCTGCTATGTGAAGCAGAAAGGTGACAGCGCTGGATACATTTTGTTGATTGTGTTGGCTATATGTGAATTGATCCCAAAGGGCGCACCATTACTGTTTTGCGCAGCCTTGACGGAGAACCATGGCAACCTTGATTACGAATTTCAGTCAACTGTGACCTTTGTCAGAGAGACTGCACGTCGTCTAACACAAAGTGAGCAGGTACAGACAGATTCCAGACACTCGGGAACACGCACACCGCGACCTCCGATTGTCTGAATTGATTGTCATCACAGAGCAATGACCATGTACGTTTTATAGGCTCAATGTTCCTGTTTATTTGGCAAATGATAACACGTGCGTCATACGAGTAAATTGTGGAATGTTAGCCATCAACACCTTTAGATTTGTTTTAGCTTCTGTTGTACACGGTAAAATCACATGCATGTATTTACATTTGCACTATATACAAAAAGAAACTGATCACCAGAACATTGAAGAATGCGTAATAAAACGGCCCACTCCAAAGGAAGCGGGAGTGGAAAAAAGAATGCAACTGAAAAGTCAAAGTCGCTGGGGTCGTTCGTACCTGTTAAAGCGAGCTTTGTAGTTCTGTGTACCGTATAAAATATCTAGCCGAATAAATTGATCGTGTATGTTGTTCATCACTTCAACATTATGTATAAATTCAAATTTAATGCATTTAGGCCCTACAGAACAAACGTCAGAGGGCTTGCCTCGAACTCGATGTTGTATAATGCTAGCTACTTGCAAGTTCTAGCACACCGAAATAAGTAAAACTTGCATTGTATTGTACCCGCAATTTGCTTTGGTGAACTTCCCACTTTACTGATGTGTATATTGGAAGGAAAAGCTTTCCACAATTCGTAATTTTCAGGAAACTACACTTTGACACGAACGAAAGAGGGGGTTCCATAGTGGCTTATGCACATCATTTGCCGATAGTGGCTTATGCACATCATTTGCCGATGGCTCTTTTTGCACCACTCACTTTAGCACCAGGGCTGCGATGAAGGCTTTGGCGACGGTGTTTTGGACATAGACCGGATTCTATACACGGCAATCCTTAGCGGCACCAACAGATGCGACGCGTCCAGGCACGCCATGGAGAACTGAGGCATAAAAAATTGGCAGTATATGTGCGTGCTTCGCTGACAAAGGTCGTCGAAAGACGATAATTTTCTGTATGGAGAGACAGAGAATAAATTGTTTATTTGTCGTTCTGCATGAGATCGGTGAGTAGGTGTGGTCTCCATGTAGCAGTAATTTGAGAAAAGTTTTTTTTATAGAATGCAAAGCCATTAGTAGGTGGCAGCACTGTGTAGTTTTAGTGAAGCGTAGGAAACACTCACTTTTTCGTTGATAACGTGGCGTTTTCAGCGCAGCATTATAAACACTACGATCTTTAGATGAACTATCTCTGCATTTTAAAATAAACTAACACACTACATATTACTCACATTGTGATAGTGCCCAAATATGCCCAAATATGTGCAATATTTGCTTTTTGATTGACAATGTTCATTAGTATGAAGGCAACCAGGACATCAAGATGGGTGCTCGCTCAGCAAAGGGTTTAATTTTCGCTCTGATGGCTGAATCGAGTGACAGAAAGAAATAAAAGACAGACAGACTCGCTGAAGTTTCCACGACGGAGTATCCCAACAAAAACTATCATTTTTAATACACTCTTTTACACAAATGCCACATACACGAATGCCACAGAGTACGGCACGTCCTATGCTCCGCACTCGTGTATTAGATGAACGATGATTCTGTAGACGACCAGGTCTTATTGGCGCATGGCTGGGGTACACAGGTGGTAAAAGTTGCTTTTCAGGAAGGCATCTACATTGAGATAACGAAATTTGCCTGGTGTTTGTCTGCTCACAAGTCTCGGATCTCGCGGTCGGTTAAAAAGATAATTTACGACACTGTCACGCGAAGACTGATGTGCTGAAGTTATGTATGTTTGAACACAGTACACCAGCGCTACAGTGCGCTCGTCTCAGTTCGGCGTTAGCATGTGTAAACTAGACCGGGACTCGTAGTTACAAACTCTTTCGCTGAAATCTTTCTCAAGAAAAAATTATGAGCCATTTTGACGCTGGACGTAACATTAGCGAAGGTGACCGGCCAACAGCGTAGATCATTCAGGAAATTAAAGTTTTGTAAACACGAACCCAGATTCTTTCATATTTTCGCATGGACGTTTGGGGCTAGCATCTTGGCCCATTGTCAGCACGGTCAGCACACAGGCTTAGTTCTGTCACAGCCAGTGGTCAGTGAATTCTGGCATCGAGTATGCGATAATGAAAGCCAGTACGTGGTCATTCTTTTCAGCTGACCTGCTGTCTTCTTGCCAGAAACAGCTGCCTCCTACTAGAGATGAAAATCACGAAGCCGAAATCAACAAACTTATCCTAAGTGCTCATTCCCATTGGCCGGCTGGCTTCTCTACTGGAGTAGTCATCACCATGGGGGCTAAAATGTTCTCTTACGAACATTTTTAACGCAAGTCACTTCTGCGTCTACAGGCATGTCACGTTGCATTCGTGTGAGCGCGGCTTCTAGTTTGCCGCCATTAGATGAACAATATGGACACGACGATGCCCTTAGAGATGTCAATTCTTCCGACGGCATGCGAGTTGATGGTGCGACATTGAATGGCGCAGAATTCGACGAGAACGTCAAGGCCAGCAAGGACAAGGCGTCGGCGGCACTGCAACGCGTGCCGGAGATCCAAGTACTCATCGAGGAGGCCGAGAACAAGACCAGGGATGCCCGGGGTGCCCTCAAAGACGCCGAGGCAGACGCCAACGCTGCAAGCGACATCGCAAAGGAGGCACAGAGGATCGCCGAGCAGGCCTCAAAGGTGCTGTCCCCCTCGATATGTAACAAAACAGTGTAGTGCTTCTCGCTGGGCTAGATTTCCTACATGTTTTAATACAGATCATCGAAACTATGCCCAAGATAAGTGCGTGTGTGCCCCGCCGCAGCGGTCTAGTGGCTAAGGTACTCGGCTGCTGACCCGCAGATCGCGGGATCTGATCACGTGTGCGGTGGCTGCATTTTCCAAGGAGGCGGAAATGTTGTAGGCCCGTCTGCTCTCATTTGCGTGCACGTTAAAGAAACCCAATGGTCAAAATTTCTGGAGCCCTCCACTACCAAGTCTCTCATAGTCATATGATGGTTTGGGACATTCAACTCCACATATTATCTAGTGTGTGTGTGTGGCGTAGGGCGGGTGGAGGAGTGGAAGGAGCAAGCACTAATGTGAGACAGGCCTACAAGCCGCTCATTGCTTTTGCTAGATGCCACAGGTGCAGTCCCTAATCATGCACCAAGAAAGCTGATGCGGAGTAGCATATACTGCAGACCTTCACGTGCCATACTGGTGTTTTATTGTTCCATAATAGAGATAAAGAACGCTAAACTAGTGTACGCCCTTGAGGGTGTTTCCTAGTTCCTTAGTGGACACCAGTACACCCTTACCCCCTGTAAAAAGCTTTACCGCATGCGAGATCAGTAATTCTGGGCACCTGTCACGCGCACAAATAACTCGTGCTATAATTGAGCAGTGATATAGTACCGAAATTTTATTTATTGTATATCATTATTTTCACTAGCAGTCGAAAGTCTGGAAACAAGAAAATTACTTATATCCCCATATACGACACAATCATAGCCCTTTGAAGTGAAGTTCAGACAACTACGTACCTCTTATACATCCCCAATGATACACTAGAAGTATGTAGTGTGTACTTCAATGCAGTATTACCTGAGTGCTCCCACCATTAGAATTAAACGAAAGCGAATGAGGGGCCCATGTTTTCTTGCATGTGAGTCAGGCAGCTACACAATGCCGATCGAGTAACGCTAACTCTTGTTTAGTCGGAATTCAAGTGCATGAATGATGGTGTTAGAAGATGTGAAATTTGCTTAGGAAACAGTTTGCCGCTAGAGGGATATGAAGCTATGAAGCGACAGCTGCCACATTACCTTTGTTATCATATATATCTTATTTCTTTATCTTACTCGCTTTAGGTACTTGGTGCATAAGCGGTCAGACTCGAACTCTCTAGCTCGAGGGCGTGGATTCAGTTGTGTGTGACGGCGGCTGCATTTTGATGCTGGCGAAATGTAAGCTCCCACTTAGGTGCACGTTAAAGAGCACTTGAAGTCGTCCGGACACCTCCATTACGGTGTTCCTTACGGCGACTGCTGGACGTAAAACCCCTCAAAACAACCAACGACCATCATCGTTATTATTTGCACAGTCGCGGAGGGCTTCTTCACGTGAAAATTGGTGTGCCTTCTGTGCAAAAGTCATCGGCCAAGAAAGTGCCATTGAAGATAGCTACCTGAGGATCCTTTTCCATGCATTCGATTATTTGCTGCGCTTGACTGGTGCATGCTATTTATATTTGCAGGACGCGATCAATGTGCGCGACGAAGCGGACAACGCGAAGACGTCGGCACGCCAGCTTGGAGACGAAGCCGAAGACCTGGCGCGCAAGGTTGACGACACTGATGCCCGCATGCGCGAGTTCGAGAAACAGGCCCGTGATGATGAGGCACTTGCTAAGGAGGTGAGATCTTCGGACGTGTAGAGCGGTGTTTTTTTGTACAATGCAAACAAGTTTCAGAAAGAGCTGCAAAAAATGTGTCATTTGTGTGTCATTTCGGAGGGGACTATCCTCACCTGCATTTGTGCGACCCTTCTACCTATTGTTGTCAGTGTGTGTCGCGTAACTGTGTGCCTTCTACGCACTGTTGAATTGACACGTGACCTAGAAACTGTTTACACAAGAGTAAAGGATGCATACTGAACAACCGAGGTGAAAGGTAGCTGGGTTTACGTAAACTATGTCAGTAACTGAAATAACCCAAAAGGTAATGGCAATACATAATCTACAATTACTAAACACGCTCCGGAAACATGCGTCTGATACTCGCACCATTTAATAGAGGGCATCACCGTCTCGCCGAGTGCGCGATTGCTTCTCCCACCAGCTCTTCTCCAGCGCCTTCGTCGCTTATTTGAGCGGAGAAACAAGCAAAACTCCCTGTAGACAAGTATCTCAACTTCCGTGACAAGCATGAAGTCAACAAAGTGCGGCAAAAAGTAACACCATTGTCGCACGCTGAGTTTGTGGACCACACGTATCAGGTTCTACTCGTGCTGGGGAAATTTTGCATGCTTATCTCAAAAAACTTCGAAGACATTGTCGCTTTGGTAAACGGAGCAGCGGCAAATCTGCGACCCTGAGACACTGTGTGCCCGTGCCGCTCACTTCCTCAAGTTTCACTGTTGCCCAGCTGCAACATTCTAGTGGTTATGGCACTCGACTGAGTGGAGTGCAGTGACCTTCACTGGACTCTACGATTCAGTGGACTTCACTGGACTCCAAGATCCAGTGGACTATCACTGCACTCACAATCCAGTGGACTTCACAGGATCGAATCCCGTCTATGGCGGCTGCATTTTCTACGGACGCGAAAATGTCTGAAGCCCGTGTATTTAGGTTCAGGTGCACATTAAAAAACCCCAAGTGGTCCAAATTTCCGAAGACCTCCACTATGGCATCTCTCATAATCATATCGTGGTTTTGAGGCATTGAACCCCGAATAAAACTATTATTATTAGGTTTCACAGTGCTACCTTTACAGTGACACTAAAGGCAACTATTAAATCGTCACTGATTGTTGCAATAGCTGTCCAGAAACCCTATAGTATTACTTTTGTGCCAAAGAAGGGCCTATTTTGAAATAAAATCACATTTTAGTGGTTTGCATAGGGTTAGCGCACTTCAAATCACCCGCCTCAAGAAGCGGACCGACTCACATCACTGTTGCCGTGCACAACGTTGCCTGGCTTTACTGCGCTAGTAGCAGCAGACCGAAAGCAGTGGGAGCCACAGCAGCAACAACGGCCAGTGATCAATTTCCCGTCATTGGCTCCTAGATTGCAGATGTTTTCTGGTTCAACTGGGCCCCACTAGACGGCACCACCTGACCTGTGTAACACACGAAAATTTAATTTTTGAACCACTCACGCCATTTCCCATAGTAACGTCTGGTGGTTCTTTTTTCCATGAGTCGAACAGAAATGAACATGCAGCATTTTATTGCATCTCTTGATGCATGGAAGTTTCTTTATTTAGTGCAACTAGATCGATTACTAGTGATTAATTGAAGGCGATCTGTCTGATGTCATCGGGATCATTCTGAGAATTTTCTACCGCGGGCCATGGGTTCTTGTGCATTGACTTTAATTTCTCGGTAAGTAAGGCACTGCTATTGATAATATTGTCATTTTAGATGTTGTCATACATTGAGCTTTCACTCTTACATAAATTGTTATTTGACTTTAGTGTCCCTTTAACAGATGATTTCAAATTACACCAATTGCTACATAAAAACAACACTCTTATTTTTGTCTCTGGTGCACATAATAGTGTTTAGAGTGTAACTTTCTTTGTATATACATCACTTTACTACATTTATGTATTTAGATGTGCGAAATTAGCTATTCACTTGTTCAGTGCTTTGTTATTCCTTGTGCGTCGACAGGCCCTGGACAAAGCGAACGAAGCCAGGGCAGGTGCAAAGCAGGCCTCGGACAAGGTCAAAGATGCTGTGGCCACGGTCACCGAGATTCTCAGGGCTTTGGGTATGTAAATGAAAAACACAGAGGAGCTTGCTTTCCATGCAAGAGAATCAGAGCCCGTATCGTGAAAAATGTGGTGGAGGTGGCTGGCAGCGTAAAATAATCATGCTTAATGAAGCCATATTTTGTCAAATGCATTAGTAGTGATTACTAAGGCAAACAGCTCAAATTTCTGACAAATAACACTCGACGAACTGCTGATCCACAACCTCAAAGCTGGTGTTTTTATTCTGTGACTGCAACAGCTTTCTTGTTCAATCAGCCTTCAGCGGCTTTTAAAAGGACCTTTGGTGTTTGGTACCTTGTTGTAATCACCAGAATAGGTGCATTACATTGGTCTTTGTGACTGACGAAATTCCTGAACACTTTAGGTATAAAGAAGACCTAGTGAGTGGGTTGTTTTTCTTATTCTAATCAAGTAGAATGCTATTGCGTTCCAGTTTTATGAAAGGCACAGCTTAAGCGTCTTGTGATAATTCTTCAACAAATATGCAACCAACAGAATGCAGTCCTGCAGAAACTATCTCGTGCGTGTCCTTTCTGTTTTCGGGGTTGGTGACACGTCAAGTTACATGCCCTGAGAAGCGTCCTCGATTCAGTGATTGCTTCATGTAGCATGCATTGCACAGCGTTTCTCTCTCCACGGTTGTCAGCTGCTGCACCATCTGCGTCTGAAAACCTTTTTTTGTTTCAAAAATTTTGAGCAGTATTCAGGAAAATGTCCAATATTTTCGTTCTACGAGAACCACGTGCACTTCATCATTGGTATTTTTAATGGCTGTGAGTGGTACTTGCATATTGTTTAATTGTCCTGATAATGTGAATAATTTGAAGCAGTTATTCATCATGTACAAGCGTTTCATTTGTCCATAACTACTGGCGGCACTACATGCATACAAGCAAGCCTGTTTATTTCGCTTTGTTTTTTTCTTTACATTTAGTGTTTTCGAGCCTTCATTTTTTACATGACGAGCACCGACCAACTAGCTCAACTGCCGTTTTAAGCGAATTTAGGTTCTTTGCAAACGAATTCGCAGAACACTCATGTTTGAGTAAATATTGATGACAGATTCGGAATAGTACGATTCCGCAAATACTTTCTGACAAAGCGTTGTATTCACGAAGCTTGAAGATGTATCGGTAGAAGTGTTAAGATGCGCTTGCTGACTGTAGTGTCCAGGTTTAATTTGTGTTCTGGTCTAGCTTCGACACAGCCTGTACAACGACAAGATGTCGTTAATGCGGGTCCAATCTTGACAGTACCTGAATTATCGCTCAGTGTATGCTGCGTAGACTTTCTTTTCATTAGAAAACGTATTTCTTGCCGCCCCTGTCATCCACAATTTGCAACAGCTTATGAAGATGTTCGCAATTAGAAGAAAAATGTGGGACAGTCTCAAAGGTGGTGAGTCACTGCCTTCTAATTGCCGCATTTACTTGCATACTACTAGGGCTCAACAGAATTCGCCTTTGTTGAATAGCTGACTATAGCTGGCTAAAGATTGGATTCGTAATGATGGCTATTGCTTGTCAAAAGAAGGAAAATATTTGCTTGTGCTGAGTAATGTTCATCAAGCAATCATTATCACTGTTGACAAATAATAATTAAATAATTACTTTACCTACTATTACAATCAACGTTCCTAGATTGATAACAGAGAGGACCGTCACATGCATCAAATTACGCACAATGTACGTAAAGCTGCATAACAATTGGCAATCAAATGAGAACCCACCAAGCCACTGTGTCTTCCGCAGCCAACGTGGACAGCGTGGATCCAGGCCGGCTGGACCAGCTGGAGCGTCGCCTGATGGAGGCTGAGCGCGAGGCCGAAGCGGCGCGCCTGGACGAGCGATTGGAAGAACTCCGTGCTGCGCGTCAGCAGCAGCAGGGCTGGATGCACGATTACGAGGCTCAGATCGAGCAGCTGAAGAGGGACGTGGCCAACGTCAAGGATATCAGTGACTCGTTGCCTGACCGCTGCTTCCGGCGCATCAAGCTTGAGCCATGAGCATTTGCACGGGGAAGGGCTTAAAAAGAATGAACAATAAGAGCGAGGGAATAGTTCGCGGCTGGCGGAATGGCATGCTCTTGAGGAGGAATTTTCGGGAAGAGACATTCTCTTTGAAAACAGACTGTTTGTGTCTCGTACGTGGTCTTTTCTCGGCCTTTTCATAAGTCAGACAAAAAAACAGAAAAGATCAAGTACGTACATGGAAGACACATTTGGGTTTGGGTTTAAAGTGTTCAGTTGAGTTGTCTCTCTCGCCCCCTCTAGCGGAATGCAGTGGAACTGCGTACTCCCAACGCTGCAGCTTCCACCCATTAACACGCATCATGGCTACAAAAAATTGTGATCATTTGGGATGAAAAAGTACATGTGTGACTCATTACATAATTTATGGGACCAATCAGCTTCAGCAAGCTTGGGCGCGATATGAGACATGAAGGTGTTGCACACGAAGTGCATTATGAACTTTGTGCATTTTTCATTAGTCGTAGTTACAAAAACTGACCATTAGGCCACGAATCATCTTTCACACTAGTAAAATATTAGTGTGTATCAGGCGGTATAAGACAGTACTCCAAGCCTTGGTGAGAGGGGAGAGTCTCTTCCTGCGACCGTTGTTATTGCGGCCTATACTTGGTGCGTTAGCAAGGCAGGAAAGCAGGAATACTCCTCACTTATGTAGAGAAAAGACATGCAAGTGTGTGTGCTTTATGGAAACTGTTTCTTGGAACGAAAGACAGAGCGTTTTGAAGCAGTTAACGAGAATGAAGGACTTGGCAATGAGTAAAGAAAATATAAAGAGATGTATAGTTTCTTCTTCCTTTTTGGGGGGCCATTGCATGAATATGCAGTTTCAGAAAGCTAACGGATCTTGATCAGGGTTCTCCAGTGATCTTTTAGTCTGACGTTCTTAGTTTAAACAAAAATTATCATAGTGTAAGGGACCTCTGGCATTCCCAGCATGTTGATAGGAACACAAGAGCTGTGAATATCAAACTGTCATTTGTCAGTTATGTCACCAACATATATGTCTTGTTTGTTTTTATGATGCCAGGTAAGGAGCAAAAAGTTAAAGAAAACGAATTTTTCACTATCGAATGACTGTTCAACATGTGCATTTCTTTTCGGACTATCAGTTGTCAATGAACTCTTCAGGCCCGTGAAGTGCACACATCGTTCACATAATTTTATTAAAAGGAAGTGGTAGACTATGTTCTTTTCTTTTTTTATATTACAGGTTTCATTGTACCATAAATTCCTGCATTTTAACTGAAGTCCTCAAAAGTCGGTCGTTTTTCATTCATCTCAAGTCGCTTAGCAAACACACAATGCGTATCTCGGATGCTTTTGTAATACTTAGACAACAGTCTCCAGTAGAAGCATTTTATTTTCCCATTTTGAAAACTGCATTTGAACGGTTTTATTTTTATTAGGTTATTGCAGTGGTCCTCCGCGCAAGCTGTGCATAATCAATTGAAAACTATTTGTGCCGTACACACACCCTTCGTGCGCGAAACTGCACCTTCCAATGAAACACGCTTGCCACGTGGAAAGAGACACTTTTTCGATGTGTCCAGCTGCAGTACGAATAGACCACCACTATGTTATTATTCTCTGCTTGCATGGGCAGGTGAACATCATGTGTACAGAGTGCAATAGTATATACTAAGATTGTAGAATGCATCTCATTTTTCTGTTTGTTCTTTGCATTTTGTATAACCTTTTGGATATATTAAAATTGTTTTTTACTTGTTACTCAAACAAAAAGTCACTTGAAAGATCAAAAGTACTGGTTGTTTTGAGACTGCCACTGTGTGCTGAATGCCAAACCAGTGCCAAAAGTATGTGCCGTATTTTTTTACGTCATGTGTGCATTTAATAAAGAGCAATTAAACCCGTTGTTTTGCACAGGTGCTGTTTTTAATCTTTTAAGGCTGCCAATTTATTTTAAACAACAGCAATGATCGCGTGAAAGAAGCTCTCCCCCTCCGCTGTCATAACAAAGAGCCCAGGCGTTATTTCTGCCGAACAACAATGTTGCTGGTTAAATTGCTAGTTGGGGGAAAGCCACCCTCATGGGAAGTGGAAACAAAACAACGCTTGTGTGCTATTCATGATTTTCTCGCAGATTACCGAACCTTGTGCTTACACATTACAGATTGTCCCATCAACGATACCTTAGCAGTTTGCTTCAGCGACATTGCGTTAGGCTGCCTCCGTCTTTAGGGCGAGGACTTGCACTTTAACCTGTTACTCTTCGACTTATTCAGGCTAAACGTTTGTTCAGTATAAAAAGTCAGGTGTATCGTGAAGGTGATGAAGCCGCGCGTACTTCGTGTGCTGATATTATAAATAAACGTACAGAATGTGCTAAACAGTTGTACGAGTGGTTAGAAGCTGTAGTAACATGCAAGGATTACCTAATTAAACTACACTATCCTTGTAGTCAGCTTAAACATCACTGGCGGGACAGGCCTATTCTCCGATATGCTTTTATGCGATATCCCCAGTCCGAGAGATAAATATGGATGCTGCATTTTCTATAGAAGAGCTAGAAGCTGCACCGACATTGTGTAGGCGTTCTTCTTCACCAGGGCCCGATGAGATAACGTACACCGCCCTGCGTCACTTAGGCCAAGCAGCTAGACGAGAACTGCTAAATTTATTTAATCGGCGATGGGAAGATGGCGTCATACATCAAGAATGGAGCCGTAGCCGTCTTGTGCCACTTCTAAAAGCAGGGAAATTTCCTCTGGTGCTGACACTATACCGGCCTATAGCTCTCGCCAGTTGCATTGGGAAACTCATGGAGCGCATGATTCTCGAGCGCCTGGAATGGTACCTTGAACGGCACAACATTTACACCGACTCCATAGCGGGATTTCGACGAGGCCATTTGTCAATTGACGTCATCGATTTAGTGTCATCGGTAGAACAGCAGAAAGTTAGGAAACGACTAGCACTTGCACTCTTTCTTGATCTGAAAGGTGCATACGACAATGTTTCCCATCAAGATATACTAGACACACTGCTGTTATTTGAACTGGGAGGGCGAATTTTTCGATAGATCCGAAGCTACCCGACACAAAAATCCTTTTTTGTATATTCTTAAGGTGGCTCGACCTCGGACCACTACATGTGCTGTGGTGTCCCACAATGTGGTGTTTTAAGCCCAGTTCTTTTCAATCTTGCCTTGCTTGGCCTGGTGGAAGCTCTCCCGGAAACAGTCAGTGTTTCAATATACGCTGATGACATCTGTGTCTGGGCATCTGCATCGACATGCTTACAAGTTCGAGCAAGGATACAGAGGGCAGCGTCGCAAGCATCTGACTATCTTCGCATGCAAGGACTAACAATCTCAACAGAAAAATGTGTACTGGTGTCCTTCTCGTGCAAGGCGATGACAAGTTACCTGATAAGCATTATTGGCCAGCCCATCTCTTACAAGTGTAGCCATTGTTTTCTAGGTGTCATTGTTGACCGCGACCTTTCCTGGAGCCCTCACGTGACTAGCTTGAAAGCTAAACTGGTATCTATTGCCCACGTCCTGAAAGCCATCGCTGGAAAAAGATGGGGTCCGTCATTGAGTTCCATGCTACAGCTATACCAAGCACTTTTTATTGGTTTACTACGCAACAGTTCTCCTCTGCTTACTAAAACTTGAAAGTCAAACATTATAGCACTTCAGAGCATGCACGCACAGGCACTACGTGTTTGTCTCTACCTACCACAAACTACCTCAACCGCTGGAACAGTTATATTGGCTCTGGATCACCCAGTTACGACCTACGCCACAGCCGACGTGCTGAGAACACATATTCGGCCCATTTTACGGATGGTATTGAGCCATTTGGCATTTCTGCCAGAACAACGACTGCAGGGGTCTCCCTCATCAGGCAGAGGCCAATAAAACCGGGAGAAAAGCCGAGCATATGTTTTGAAGACGCCCGCATGTGCGCACTGTGGGTCAGCGTGGAAACCTGAACATATTGCAGCACGAAGATGGCGAGGTATGACGAGTAACCACTTTCGGCCGTCGGACTTGTAATTCCTGCGCTAAAGGAGGGCATCACGGACTTCAAAGTGAGCCACTTGACGGCGCAACGTTCGAGAAGATGGAGAAGTCAACGGGTCTGAAAGAAATCGCAGAAGAGCGCTGATCCAGTCATCCTTATGTTGCTCAGACGCCATGTCGCAGTTTTCTGGGAACGCAACCATTTCGTCCACGGCAGATAGACATGCAGATGTTTTGGAGGACACAGGTGAACGTGATAGAGCGTTGGCATCAGTGTGACGTCAGCCAGGCCTGTAGACAACACGCATGTCGAACTCTTGCAACCGCAAAGCCCAGCGAGCTAAATGGCCAGAGGGGTCTTTCAATGTGAATAACCAACAAAGCACATGGTAATCAGTGACTATGTCGAAGGGGTGACCATATAGGTACGGTCTAAATTTACCTAGAGCCCATATAATTGCCAGACACTCCTTCTTTGTCACAGAATAGTTCTCCGTTTTGGTGAGGGTACAACTTGCGTATGCGACTAGGTACTCCTGGAATTTCAATTTGCACTGCACGAGCACGGCGCCAAGTCCAACACCGCTGGCATCGGTGTGTACTTCAGTCGGAGCAGTCGGGTCGAAGTGACGCAAAATTGGCGGCGAGGTTAACCGGCAGCTACACTTTTCAAAAGCATCGTCACAGGCGGGTGACCAAGCGTAACTTTTCAAGTTACTGCATAGAAGTTCAGTCAAGGGTGCAGTGATCATCCCAAAATTCTGAATAAAACAGCGGAAATACGAGCAGAATCCAAGAAAGTGGCACAGATCCTTCAGAGACGCAGGTTTAGGGAACTCTGCAACTGCCCGAAGCTTGGCGGTATCAGGAAGAATACCGTCTTTCGAGACAACATGGCCGAGGATGGTGAGCTGACTTGCGCCGAAGCGGCATTTCTTCAAGATTAGCTGAAGGCCGGCGTCAGGAACTACAGTACTTCATCTAGCCTGCGGAGATGCGTTGGAAAATCTGGTGAAAATACCACGACATCATCCAAGTAGCACAGGCACGTGTTTCACTTCAGACCACGCAAAAGATTATCCATCATCTGCTCGAATGTTGCGGGTGCGTTGCAAAGACCAGAAGGCATGACACAAAATTCATAAAGGCCATCAGGTGTGACAAGGGCCGTCTTAGGCTGATCTTCAGGTGCCAGAGGGACTTGCCAGTAGCCACTCTGTAAGTCGATTTTCGGTGAGGGGTAAACGTCATTTTGAGTTAGTTTGTTAAGATGACGGTAGTCAACGCAAAAGCAAATTGACCCGTCCTTCTTTTTTAACGGGAACGACTGGAGATGCCGAGGGGCTATTTGAAGACTCGATGACGCCACGCTTGAGCATGTCAGCGACTTGGTCATCGATAACCTGGCGCTCGGCTGCGGACACGCGATAGGGTCTTTGACGCAATGGCGCATTAGTACCCGTGTTGATGCGGTGACACACAGCTAACGTGCGGCTGAGGAGAGTATGCTGACAGTCAAAGGAAAAACGGAACTTGTCCAACAGTGGTAAAAGCTGAGCACGTTGCGAAACGGTTAACGTGTCGGCGATGGAGCTGCTCACTACATCAGGCCTAGTAATCTGCGGCGAAAAGGCTCAGGTCACTCCGGTGACTTCGTGTTCAGCGGAAGGACCAGTCGGCATGTTGATAATTGCAGAAGGGTCGAGTTTGTAAACAGGCCCGATGCACCCACCCCGAAGTAGTGTTACAGGACATCACAACAGGTTCGAGATGAGCAGTCTGCTGACGCCGTCATGAAGTTCTAGGAGGGCATAAGGTAGCAGCGAACACTTGCGACAAACGAAAAGGGCAGATCGCGTACAAAGGGCACTCGACTCGGTGAACGAGTTGCAAGACACCATGGTAAGGGCAAAAGAGTGCGACAGTAGATGATGTCTTCAGCAACAAATATTTTGTTCCCGGTTTCAAGAGCATCCATTATATAACAGAGCGTCGCCAAACACTTCAAATGCCACCTCAGCACGAGAGCAGTCGATGACTGCCTTATTAGAGAAGAGAAAGTTCCAACCCAAAATGAGGTCATGAAAGCAGGAATCCAACATTAGCAATTCGACGACATAGATGAGGCCATCCATCGTGATGCAAGCAGTACAGGAAATGGCCGGCGTGACGTGATCTGCACTGGCTGTACGAAGTGATATACTTGCTAGCGGCGCCATAACTTTTTTGAGCAAGCAGCAGAGTCTGGCACTGATCACTGAAACTGCGGCGCCAGTGTCGACAAGAGCGAGTGCAGTGACGCCGTCCACATATACGTCAAGAACATTCGTTGGTGAATAGAAAGGCCTTGGTCTTTTCACGGGCGACGCAGTTTCTGCCTCTGGAACTGCGGCAATTAGTTTTCCCACTCCGGCGATGGCGAGCGGCGGTTAACAGGCGGGCGGTAGTCGACGTACGATGACATCTAGTCGGGGGCTGAGAGCTTGTGAACGAAAGGCGCGGTGGCACATAAGAGGCAGGTTCGAAACTCTGGTGATAAACAAGGATGCGCCGATGGAAGTATCGTGCTATGTGGCCAGGTAGGCCACAGGCAAAGCATATTGGTCGATTGTCGAGTGTACGCCATTGTCCACTACTCTGGACGTACCTTGGCTGAGCGAACCGAGGAGTGGGTCGCAGCGGCACGGCTGATGGTAGTGACGTAAAAGTGAAGAGGTGGTTGAGCGGCCACTTCAGCATAGCTTAGAGGTGCATTTACCGCGGCACAGGCAACAGGGGTCGGCACTGGTGAAGTGTCAGGTGCAGATGGCAGAGCCGCGCAAACTTGCTCCTGGATGACCTGGCGAATGTTTGCTGGCAGAGGTGACGGTGGTTGGGCGGCTGTTGATAGAAG